TAGTATATAGGAGATTTCATATTGTTTGAACAGCTCATTTTTAGAGATAAATTAAAACAGAAACATGTTTCACTCATTGTAGATATTGAAAGCTGAAATAGTTTTTTCCTGACAGCTTGGAATAAATAAAGAAGAAGCAGGCCAAAACATTAATGCGTAATAATCGACTACATATGCCTGTAGACATGTGTTCTGTTAGGTTGCTATGAAGCTTTTCCTTTTGGAGCAGGAAATGGTTGTAAGGCTGAGTTAAATCCATTGCCCCTTAGGCAGAATGTCAGTGACAGTTTGAGCACTGGTTGAGGTTCTTTTGGTTCAGAAAATGTCAGAGACCAATCTTGTTTTATTCAAATAAAAGCAGTTCACAGATGGATGAAAGAACTGAATTAAAAAAAAAAAATCAATCAGCTGCTACTTTTTTTTTCTCAATTATTAATCTTTTCAGGTTTACCTTTCTAGGTGATGTATTTATTCACTTTGTTAACGTGCATCTAACCCTCCTTCTGAATTCCTGAGGTGGAGACATAATGAGAATCTTCCGCTTTCCACATAGCTCTGTATGTCACTTGTTTAACTCACTGCATGGAGAAGAACACCAGTATGTTCAGGTGGCAGAAAGTAGGGATGCTGAGAAAGCTGGGCAGGCTGAATGAAAGTGGAATGTCTCCTCAGAGGATGATGTATGAGGGTTCAGATAAGGTAGAGGTGTCACTTCCTTCCATCTGTAGTGGAAATCTGAGTTTTTACTTGCTTGTTTTGAGCTGCTTTGCTGATGTGAAAGCCATGTTTTAGGAAATGTTTCTTCGTTGATACGAAGTGAAGTATGGAAAGATAAAATATCTCTGGATTATTAGTCTTGAGTTAAAGTTCAGCTGAGTGAATGGTTTCCAAAGGCTGATATGAATAACTCCATCAAAACAGACTTCCTTTCCGCATTTTGAAAAGTATGTAAACATACGTAAGCTTTTAGTTTTCAGTGTTTAATATTTGGTATTCCTTTTATTAATGGTTTTCAGATTGTGTAAATACAAATAAGAGGCTAAAAACATACCCTAACATTTCTAGTGTTCAGGAAATTTGCCTTATCTGATGACGTGTATATCTTTTGTTCTGAAAGGCTAGCTTTTATGTAAAACAGGATCATAATGAAACTGTATCCAAGACTTGTTTTCCCATCTAATGAATAGAAAAGGCGTACTTTGGGCTTTGGTTGAAAGAGGGTCCTTATAATTGTTATACATCTAAAATTAATTCCTAATTTATGAATCTCATATACTGAGAATTACCAAAATGTCTTTACTGTTTCAAGCTGTAATACCTCAAGTTTACACCTTTACTTCTGAAAGTTGTAATTAGGTGCTTCAAACAAATTATACTATAACTGTTGTGGTATATTTTATGGTTTTTTTTCACTGATTCTCTTATCATTTATCTTATTGTACCCATTTATAGCATCATGCTGCCTCTAATTTAATCCCAAAATGATATTAAACAATTATTTTTGAAGTTCTTATAAATGACTACTCAAAAACTAATTTTGTGATTGTTCAAGTCCATTTAATTTTTTTTTTTTTTTTTGCATGATGATATTACAATTATTTATAGGACCAATGCACAAAACTATTTCAGCTTACTCTGAAAAATCTGTTCTTAAAAAAGTAAGATCAGGTAAGCTTAGTATTATTTGATTGTTTCTGGGCAATCCATTTGTTTTCTTATGTGACAGTAAGCATTGCAGACTTGTTTTACCTTTCCATCTATAGTACATCCATGAGATGGCTTCCAGTGCTCTACCTGAGAGGGAAGAATTGTGACCAAATGGAACAGCACATCTAAGAGAAACAAATTAAAATGCAAACTATACCCAAACTCTTCCCTTATGCTGCTGCTGGTTTTCAGGCCTTTAGAAGTGTGGTGAATTTAAAAAATACATTTGCTTGTATATGATCAGAATACCATGTGAGCAAATGAGGTGAAATGCTTTGAGCTGCCTGTAAATGTCTATGAAGCAGACACATGTAGTATGATGTTACCACGTTGTAAGTTTGAGACAAAATGATTAAAAAAAAATAATTAAGAAAAGCAAACATTACATTTGTCATTGAAGAGAAGGGCTTCCTGACAGGCCCAGGTGGTGGTGAAGCCTGGGGCAGGTACACACATGTTCATGGGTGCTTTATGCTCCTTTTTCCTGGCTAAAAATTCTTTTGGCTGAAGAAAGCTGGCTGTTCATTGGATTTTACTGGCTAGAGGCCCTGAAAAATAAAAATACAGGTGCTAAATGGAGGCTTGGATTGCTCAGGCCGCTACCAGTGGTACAGGCACCTGCAGTGGAGGCCTGTTGCACATTAGCAGAGGGGAAGGCTGTGGTGCCCCTCAGCAGAGGGAGACTAAGGGGGATGCATACAGCATGTCCTCTGGGGTCAGGGGCAGCAGAATGTGGTTGCTCTAATTTAAAAATCATTCTATGGCTGTGTTATAGGGATTCTTCTGTCTTTCCATGGCATTTCTTTATTTCTCTGTCTTATGGGTTAGTTCACTGATCTACTGATTCTGCACTCTGCTAAACTGCTCTTAGAGCCAAAATTCCTTTTTCTGCACGTGGAAAGGAAAGTAGTGATGTGACTTAAAATGTCCCCATTAGTCAATTTCTAAGGGTAGACATAATTCCCTTTTGAAGCTTTTCAAACCGTTTTTTCTTCTTGATAAATTTCTTGGCAATAAAGCCAATGATTGACATCTGTCTGAAATTAGGATAATTTAATTGCAAGGACAATAAAAACAAACAACATTTTTATAAAGATCTATTCCGTGTGTGGATTTCCTAGTCTTTTTATGGGAATCTTTTTGGTTTGGGGCTATTTTTATGCAGTGATGCTGGTAGTACATGTAAAGGAAGAATAGAAATATGCAGGCTTGGTGTTTTACTGAGGCACACTGGTAAGATAAATGCCCAGCAACAGTAAATGTCAGTGCTATGAAGTTACTGCCATTGTGACTTTCTGCATCACTTTTGGTCTGAAGAACTTTTAAACATGGTACCTGTAAGGATTATTTTTTATTCAGGACATGTGAAATGAAGTACAATTGACCCACATCTGGAAATTACTTTGGTTAGTTTGCTCATATATTTTGGAAATGAGAGCTGTTTGTTCTTCCTACTTGTAAAATGTTCTGAAATCTGCAGGGTGATGTGATTCAGGAGTTGATCACGATAATATTCAGTGAATATTTGGCATATTGACAACAAGGAACTTATCTCAAAATGGTTTTGTTAATCTGGAATTCAGTCTTACTTGCTGATTTAGCTATAGTAACATGTCTCCCACAAATGGCAATTCTTCTAAGTTCTAAGAAATTAAATCTCGAATTTTCTTGGAAATCAATTTCTAAACAAGAAGTGGCCCAGTGTGCTCATATCTTAAAAGTACTGTAGGTCACTGGGATTTGAGACCTACACTCATTTTTAAAGAATGAGTAGAAGTCATGGAAGTTCAGAAAACAATGCTTCCCTCCAGAAGAAATAATAATAAAAAAAGTAAGGTGCTTGCAAATATTTTTTGTCTTGCCTGTGAAACTGTAACATCTCCTGCAGTTGTGCTAGGCATTCAGGCTTGTGATGACTTACATAGCCTCACTGACACTACTAACAATTTTAGTATTGTTGGATGGCATTCTTTTTTACTTGCCTTAAATGAGTTTGTTTGAGTGGCTGGAAAGCTGCCTGATGGAAAGGGACCTTGGTGTACTGATGGACAGTCGGCTGAATATGAGCCAGCAGTGTGCCCAGGTGGCCAAGAAGGCCAGTGAAATCCTGGCTTGTATCAGGAATGGTGTGGTGAGCAGGATGAGGGAAGACATCCTGCCCCTGTACTCAGCACTGGTGAGGCCTCACCTCAGGTACTGTGTTCAGTTTTGGGCATCTCAGTACAGAAAGGACATCGAGGTGCTGGAGTAGGTCTAAAGAAGGGCAACAAGGCTTGTGAAGGGCTTGGAGAATGTACCCTACAAGGAGTGACTGAAGGAACTGGGGCTGTTTAGTCTGGGGAAGAGGAGGCTGAGGGAAGACGTTATTGCAGTATTTGAAAGATGCTTACAGTGAGTGTGGGGTTGGTCTCTTTTCACTGATGACAGGTGGCAGGACGAGGGGAAATGGCCTCAAGTTGTGCCAGGGCAAGTTTAGGTTGGATATCGGGAGAAGCTTCTTTACAGAAAGGGTTGTTAAGCACTGGAATAGGGTCCCCAGGGAAGTGGTTGAGTCACCATCTTTGGATGTGTTTAAAGACCATTTCAATGTGGTGCTCAGGGCCATGATTTAGCGCAAGGTTGTTAGTTAGGGTAGTATGGTTAGGTTGTGGTTCAACTTGATGATCCTTAAGGTCTTTTCCTACCTGAGCAATTCTATGATTCCATAATTCTATGGTTCTATGATTCCTAGTGATGAACCAAATTCTTTAGGAAATGCAGTCTTTCTTTAAAAAAAAAAAAAAAAAAAAAAAATAGCTGGTTAGACTGGAATCTGCTTATGGGGAGTGGTGGGAAAAGACAGCATACTGGAGACAGATGACGCTTGTAGGGCCATGTATGTTTGAGGGTGGACAGATAATTTTGATTGTCTGGAAAAAAAAAAAGCAGTTGATGTAACAATGTTTTTTCTTTGTTGTAACTTTATTAATGTTTGCAAGTATTTATTCCTCCTGTGTAAACATGACTACATGTGTTTGTTTGTATGTCATCGAAACAACTTATTTTCCTTGAAGTGCTAATAAGAATATTGTAAATTACTTAAACTGTTCTTATCTTACATCTAACCCTAACCCTTGTTTTCCTCTGAATGACTGCAGATACCCATATCTGTAATGGATGTTTATGATTGATACACATAAAAAGCCTATCTAAAGAGCAATATGCTTAATTGCAGACAATTTAACTTGAATATTTCTGGTGCTAGGTTTTCCACTTACAACTGATGCATTAAAGGAATTGTTCTTGTTTTACAGGCAAAGACAGAGTTTTTAATACGCCCTTGTGTGAGCAAGGAATTGTTGGATTTGGTATTGGAGTTGCAGTTGCAGGTGCTACAGCCATTGCAGAAATTCAGTTTGCAGATTACATTTTTCCTGCATTTGATCAGGTTAGTACCAATAATTTTGAATGAAGTAAAAAAGAAGTTTTATGAATTTGTTTTAAATATTCTTTTGTTGGCATTAATGCTTGGTAATACCTTATGCAAAAATAGCCACGGCTGTAATACTAATATTTATGCATGCACTATGTAAACAGGAAGGTACCAGTTCCAAGTTGAATGCTGATTAAATAATTTAAATTAGTTTAAAATGCCTTAAAATCCCCATCTGTGTTATTCCAATACCATCTCTTACTTCTTTGTGTGATTGCAGGCCAACCATTTGTCAACAGGATAAACTGTGAATTTGAACTGAGCTGACTGTCTTCTGGGAATGGGGAAACAACTGGGCTATATGACAACTCTTGATAGAATCATAGATTCATAGAATCATAGAAGGTTGCAAACGACCTGCAAGATCATCTAGACCAACTGTCCTTCCATTACCACTGCTATCACAAGCCTCTAAACCATATCTCATAGCTCTTCATCCAGACATTTCTTGAACACTGCCAGGGATGGCGACTCTGCCATCTCCCTGGGCAGCCATTCCAGTGCCTGACCACTCTATGAGGGAAAAAGTTCTTCCTTATGTCTAACCTGAACCTCCTCTGGTACAGCTTGTGGCCATTTCCTCAGGTCCTGTTTGTTGCCTGGGAGAAGAGGCCAAGCCCCTCCTCATCACAGCCTTGCTTCAGGAAGTTGTAGAGTGCACTGAGGTCTCCCCTGAGCCTCCTCTTCTCCAGACTAAATAATCCCAGCTCCCTCAGCCGCTCCTCATAAAACTTGTGCTTCAGATCCCTCACCAGTTTCATTGCCCTTCTCTGGACATGTTCCAGGTCTTCAATATTTTTTTTGTAATGAGGGGCCCAAAACTGAACACAGTACTCAAGCTGTGGCCTCACCAGTGCTGAGTAGAGGGGGATGATCACCTCCCTGCTCCTGCTGGCCACACTATTTCTAATGCAGGCCAGGATGCCGTTGGCCCTCCTGGCCACGTGGGCACACTGTCAGCTCATGTTCAGCCGAGCATCAACCAACACTTCCAGGTCCCTTTCCTTTTCACAGTCATCCAGCCACTCATCATTAAGCCTATAACGCTGCATGAGGTTGTTGTGCCCAAAGTGCGGGACCTGGCACTTGGCCTTGTTGAACCTCATCCCATTCACCTCCCCCTAGTGATCCAGCAAATCTAGATGCCTCTGAAGGGCCACCCTAATTGACACCACCTCCCAGCTTGGTGTCATCTGCAAGCTTACTGAGGGTACACTCAATCCCTTCATCTAGGTCATCAATAAAGATATTAAACAAGATAGCGACCCACTTGTAATGCGTCACCAGCTGGACTTAGCTCCCTTAAACACTACCTGTTGGGCACGGCCCTCTAGCCAGTTCCTTACCCAAAGGAGAACGTACCGGTGCAGGCCACGGGCAGCCAGTTTCCCCAGAATACTGTGAGAGACTGTGTCAAAGGCTTTGCTGAAGTCTAGGTAGACTACATCAACACCTTTTCCCTTGTCTACCAGTTTCATCACCCAGTTGTAGAAGGAGATGAGGTTGGTTAAGCATGACCTGCCTTTCATGAACCCGTGCTGTCTGGGCCTGATTCCCTGGATGCCACGCACATGTTGTGTGATCTCACCCAAGATGATTTGTTCCATAACTTTCCCTGATACTGAGGTCAGGCTGACAGGCCTGTAGTTCCCTGGATCCTCCTTATAGCCCTTCTTGTAGATGGGAGTCACATCGCCAAGCCTCCAATCCTCTGGGACCTCTCCAGATAAGCAGGAGCGCTGGTAGATGGTCAATAGCAGCTTGGCAATCACCCCCACCAGCTCCCTGTTCTTGTGCCTTTAAGATTTCCATCATGAGAAGCATCCAGGCTTCCTGGACCCCTTTACCCTTAAGGAGTGACTCCCAGGGGACCTGTGCTACAAGCGTCCTGAACAGGTCAAAGTCTGCCCTCTTGAAGTCCAGGATCGCAGTTTTTCTAGTCACCCTTCTGACATCTCCAAGAATAGAGAATTCAACAATTTCATTGTTGCTCTGCCCAAGACAGTCCCCAACCTTCACATCTCCCACCAGTCCTCTGTTAGTGAAGAGGAGGTCTAGCAGGCCGTCACCCCTGATGGGCTCTCCTACTAGCTGCTTAAGGAAGCTATCTTCCACACACTCTAGAAACCTCTTAGACTGCTTCTTCTGTGCTGTGTTGTATTTCCAACATATATGAGGGAAATTGAAGTCTCCCATGAAAATGAGTGCTGGCGTTTGCACGACTTCTGCAAGCTGCTCATAGATAACTGAGTATTTAACTTGGATCCACTAAATTACCAACTCACTTGCCTTGGAAAATGTTTACCTTTCAATAGACTTAAAGGAGTCTTTTGCAGCTAGTTTAGTTCTCTTAATTCTATGCATGGAGTAGATGGTATAGATGCATCTTGTGTACTGTAGAGGTTTAATGATATGTAACTAGAGGTATTGGACTGGATATTACTTTCTCTTTTTTCCCCAGATCGTTAATGAAGCAGCAAAGTATCGTTACCGCTCTGGAGATCTGTTTAACTGTGGAAACCTCACCATCAGAGCCCCCTGGGGTTGTGTGGGACATGGTGCGCTGTATCACTCTCAAAGTCCAGAAGCTTTTTTTGCTCATTGTCCAGGAATAAAGGTACAGTAATTCTTATGTTACAAAGATTGATTGTGAGTGAACCTGACTAATCAGACTAATAAATCTGAGTGCAGGCAGGGAAGGGAGGATGGAAGTCAATGTACACAGCAGAACATCTGAATGTGCTAATTAAGAACTCTGTTAGAAGCTTTCCATTAATAAAGCTTAAACTGTGTTGGAGAATTTATAGTCATAATTGAAACAACCTTTAGCAGGTATAGCATTGTGTTTGCTTTTGCACTAAAAGCATACGTTTTATGTTTGCTCAGTATGCCCCAACAAACTACAGAAATTAAAAACTAATGAATAGTGCTTTAATTCAAGGATGCATTAATGGGGACAAATATGCTGGTTTATGGCTTGCGGGTTCTACTGAGAAAAAGTGGGTGGTGGGCATAGGGTTTGGAAGAGGCCTTAGGGACTGTAGGGAATTATAAGTTGGTGAAGAGCTTAAAGGAACCCAAAGCAGAAATTCCTTGAGTAATGTGCTAAAAAACATTGTTACAGTTAATTGCTGCCATCTCAGTTAAAGAACGCATGAAATTCTATGGAATTGGTGGAACCATCTATTAATTTTGGATGCATGGAGGAGTGCTCGTTTGAATTTTGTATCTTTGTGAAAACAGTGTTGCATCTTTGGTTTTTTTCTGCAAAGCTGTTTGTTAATGCAGTTAATGTTTAAAACAGTTATTGCTGCTTTACTGAAATTGAAACTCTCATGAATATGTTAGTAGTAGAATATTTAATGTAACTCAGTGAAGGCTTTGTCATCTGTGCATATTTTGCATGGGAAGTAAGGCCATGATTTACAGGTTGGCGAGGACAGGAAACGTCCCACGGGAGAATGGTTTGCAGAACTGCCCTCTTACTAAGCTGTGTAGTTGGTTTCTGACTGAAGGTTTTAACACTGGTTTTGGTAAGTGAAAGGTGAGATTCAGATTTCAGTGGCAGAAGAAGGTTTGTGTAACCTTGGTTGTTGAGGGGAGAAACTGTAATCGTTACGCTTAAGATTTAAGTTTGTTGAAGTGAGGAGGACACTGTTGGATCATTGTTTCTTTTGTCTACCATTGTGAGGAGATGTCTTAGTGCATTCGTCTGTCTTAAGTATTGACTCTCTTTATTCAATTGCAAGAGTGTGCCAGGATCTTTGCCATTGCAGATAGAAATTTTCTTTCCATTTCCAGCTGAAATTTCTTTCTAACTTGAATCTTCAATTCATCTTTCCTTTCATGTACAGAGAGTAATTGTTTTCGCTTTAGTCATTGTTTCTTCTTAGACTAAACAAACTATCAAGGAGATATTTTTTGGCATCTGTTTTGATTCATTTTCTGTCAAAACAATGTACTCATGAAGTATTCCAACTGAATTTCTAGCAGTGATTTTTTCAATAACACTAATATTTCCTTCACTACACGATTATGTCTTTTAAAGCTAGTGTCCTAGTTATCTGTTGAGCAAACAATGCATTCAGATCTTTCTCTGAATGTCTACTGATGAGTTCTAAATTTGTAACAAAAATTTACTTTCTAAATGCTGACTTACCACTGTGTATCATTCAGTTTTTCTTTGATTTTGTCTGTTGCATCTTTAATGTGAACTGATCTTTTTTGTATCGTCCTTCTACTGGTAGTGACTCAGCTTTTGAATAGTTTTCATTTCTGCATTCTGAGTTTGCATCATAAATGAGTAAGGTAAAAGTCTGTCTTAAAAGTGGTCCTGAAGGAGCTGCACTGCCAGCATTCATCAGTCTGAAAATTTCTCATGTCTGTTGTCAAACGTTTTGTTGGAATTTAAATAGATTGCTTCTCCCTTGCTTAGAAAATTCACTTACTGAGTTAATTGGATGAGATAGATGATTTAGGTTGTGTTTTGAATCTTCACAGCTATAAAATGAAGTTCTGAATAGCTTCACAGCTACAAAATGTTTACTAGTTTTCTTGACCCCCAGTGTATGTCTGATTTGAATTCCATGGGATGTAATTTATCTGGTTCTGATTCCTCAATTTCTGAGGAAATTGAGCTCTCTTGGCTTCTGTTTTCATTTAAGCTGTGACATTTTGGCGACTTTATGTTTGTTATTAATATTCTCTTAGACCATCCGTAATTAACTCTTCTGTTGGCAAAGCAGTTATATATTTTTTATCCTTCTGAGTGCTCAGATTACATCTAGAGACTTTATTCAGGCTTCCAAAATGACAAGATTTCAAACTTCTGCCATAAGTAAAGTTCCTTTTCCAGTCTTTACTGCACCAAGTCTGAAGTTCTTCCATCCTCCTATGAGGAGTTCAACTACACAACTTGAGATCAGCTGCTTTTTTTGTCATCCATCTACATTAATTTTAAAAAAGTAGCATTTTGATAGTTTGTTGAATTGGACTTTTTTTTCTATTCTTTCAACCTGAAAATGCTCTTCTTAAAATGTTAGCTTTGGTTAGTATTACCTGAGGAGAATAAATTAGTATTTATAACATGATGTAAGAGGAAACTATTCAAGTCTCAAGAATGAATTAAATAAAATATGAAATAAAATTCAAAACTTGGTGTGTGTGTTAGTGACGCAGCACTGATATTAATGAACTCTGTAACAACTCAGTAGCTATGGAGTTTTATTTAAAGCAAATAATTGCTTAGTTTTTGCAGTCAGTGTATTGTTGAGGAATTTTGTACTCAAAATAAACTATTTAAAAATATTTTTACAGATTGTTATTCCAAGGAGTCCTCTTCAGGCCAAAGGATTGCTGCTGTCATGCATAGAGGATAAAAATCCATGCATATTCTTTGAACCTAAAATACTATATAGAGCTGCAGGTAAGGATGTGCTGTATTTTCCAGTAAAGCAATATTTATTTTTGCCCATGTACTTCCTTAGTTACAGCTAAATTGATAGTGTAGCAAAAATCTTGATTTGCACTCATTTTGTCTTCAGCTGTGTTTGGGCTTGTGTTTGTTGAGAAAATCTGAAAACTAGGTAAAACTTCAAAATTTGCATACAAACATGAATATTTACAGTCAGATTCATGTTCAGTGAGTGTTAGAATGCTTTGTATAGTCTTGAGTTTAGAAAAAAAAAAGAAATAGAGCTAAAAGGCATTGTCTCATGAAATTGCATGGTGAAATACAAACAAGACTGAGTCTGTTTAAGTGGTGTGTAGACTGTGTAGTTAACAGTGAGAATTTGGTAGTTAGAATAACAAAACTTTAAATCATTTAAGGATAAACTGGCTGTAGTTAGCAGGCTGATTTATGGAGTTTCTCGCAGACCTTATTGGGATAGGGCAGTGTAAGTCTGACAGAAGTGAAAGTGCTGTTCTTTTGGTAATTCTAAATATTAAAATTAATTGCTAGAATTGTTTTTATTTTTCCAAAGGAGGTGATTTTCTGCAGTCACAGTTGTTACAAATTTTAAATTTCTTTTGAATGCTTCATTTCTAAAACTGTAGAAAATCTGCTCCTTTAAATTCTGGTTTTGTTTGGTAGGAAGTGCGATTGCCTTTACTATTTTTCTTTGCTTCGGTCATAGTGACCTTTTTGCTCAGTTTTAGCAGACATCATTATGCATGACATAATACAGTAAATTGAAGATGGTAGTGCATGTTGTATCATCAGTGTTAATTGTAACAATGCAGTTGTTATTTACTGAGGACAGGTGAAGCTGTATTGGACGACTGAGTGTAGGAAAAGAAAATTGCACATGGAGGGATAGGTGTAGTGTCTGGGTGAGCAACTTATGGCAATAGGCATTGTCATTCATCATTCCTATGTTGTATAATTTTGTCTACCAGCTATTTGTGAATAGTGAAACAAATGTCTTCAAAACAGCAATTTCTTTCACTGTTTTTAGTATTTAAAATTCTCAGCTGCAGACCACAGCTTTAATAAAATATTTACTTTCATAATGGAATGAATGACTGCACATTAAAAATATCACACAGCTATTGAGAGCACAGGGCTTATTGAGTGTATGAGTGTATGAGTGTATCAGTTCCTCATGTATGAGGAACTGATCTATGAAACAATCGCTGGATCTTCTGGTGAGTTCAGATGAGTCACGTGATTGAAATCTTGAGTGAAAATGTGCTGAAATAGTGGTTAGTTGGGTTTGTAAGTTGGTCTGTAACCAAACGCAGCGTTGTTACAAGACTTCAGTAATTTCTGAAAGAACTTACTGATGATGTTGCTGTGTTATCTCGTGGGCTGATTTCCAGAGAAATTACCTTAGATTTATAAGAACATCAGTTTAGTGATGTAGGCTGAAATTTGTAGTGCCACCATGTGACAAGACCAGTTGTGATTAACTTCTTTCATTTTCTTGTTGATCACATTTATGCCCTTGGATATTGCTTCTTATGGCTTTCCTCCTAGTCTTGGTTTACTTCCTTTTGCTTTGGAAAAGTCTTTATCCAGCTATTCTTAATGGGAACAGAAGTATTTACATATATTCATGTGCATTTTATAAAATTAGAAGCACATAGATGCAAACATTTCTGAGAAAAAGACCAAAGTTAAATACAGAAATAAACATCTGCAGAGAGAATTCTGTTGCTGGTTAACTTACAAAGTTATAACATTATTACAAGTGCCATGGTGATGTCCCCCTAAATGTCAGAGATGCTGAGAAAATATCTGAATTAAAAAAAAAAAAGAAAAAAAAAAGAAAAAGGAGGCTCTGATTTATAAATAAGTGGTTATCAGACTGTGTGTGTAGTGTCGAGAGCACATAATGATTATGAATCAAAGGAGATGAGTCACCTTGACATTATCAGGTTTAGACATCTTGTGGAGAACCTACTCTGATGTTTTTTGACCTTTTCAGTTTCATTTCATTGTACCATATATGACATTGGTGCTGTAGAAATAAATACGACTTGCATCAGTGGTTGTTATAGAGACAAGACAGTAAGATTAGAAAACATATGTTTTCTTTCTGTGCTTCAGACTGCTCTTTAAAAAAAAAAAGCAACAGATGGTGCAGCCTTTTAAGACTGTGATGGTCCTTTTTGTCTGATTACTACTTTTTGTTAATTGCTTTACTTGAAATCTGGTTTTGAAATACTTGATTTAAAATATTTATAAATTCAGTAATAGATGAATGGAGTGCTCTGCATAAAAACATTGTTGTCCTGGTTTGGTTAATTGTTGTGCAAGAAAATGCACAGGATAATTTCATGTGCTGTTTTATATCACTGTTAGTGGAGGAGGGAGATTTGTAAAGGCATTTGAATAAAATCCTGTCAAATCTAGACTTCCCTTATAGTTTTTTTTGACAAGCATTTAAGTATCAAGAATGGTTTAGCCATAATAAGCAATTAGGTAATTGTAATTTGTAATTGTATGCTGCATTTAATTTTTCTAAATGGCTGAAACCATTACACAGAGGAGCTCTATGTATCATGTGTGCTATCCAGATCTTCTGCTGGTACATCTACCTGTTTTCCAAACTGTATTCATGTCAGTTGCCAGAGCTTACATTTGGATATATTGAATCTATTTCTACACTGCCCCTATTCACACTGAGATATATGTGACATAAAACTAAGAAAAAACATCTTTACTGCGAGTGTGGCCAAACAGATTGGGACAGATTGCCCAGAGAAGTTGTGGAGGTGCTGGAAGCCCTACTGAGCCTGAACCACACACTTGTGGTGAGAGAGGTCTGTGAGCACAGGGCTTGGACTAAGTGATCCCCGGAGCTTTCTTCCTACCTCAGCCCTTATGTGATTCTGTAGCACTTGGTGTTTGTATACCATTTCTGGCCTGGGAAAAAAAAAAGGTATATTTTAGAAAACTATTCAGGTATTCACTACTTGCTTTATTAAAAATAGATATGTTCCTAATGTACAAGTCAGGAAAGAACTGCTTGCATCGGATCTGCTGTACGAATGAAAGAAAACTGAAGATGCTTAATTTTTCCTAAGATGTTTCCATCTAAAAATTGTTAATTGGGTACTAATTTGAGTGGAACCATCTTCAGAGTTACAGTGAAGGCAAAATGCTTTTTTCCCCAGGGAGGTGGTTGAGTCACCATCCATGGATGTGTTTAAAGACTGTTTAGATGTAGTGCTCAGGGACATGATTTAGCGGAGGGTTGTTAGATTTAGGGTAGTATGGTTTGGGTTGCTGTTGCACTTGATGATCTTGAAAGTCATTTCCAACTTAAGCAATGCTATGATTCTATTGGGTTTTTGTTTTTCGTTTGTTTTTCCCTAGTTACTTTAATGATAATGTATTTTTGGTGAATTGAATATTTGAGTCACTTAACTGCTATCATCAGAAGTTCCTTTGACAATTTCTGTGCAGATTCTGAAAGCTGTTTTCATACCACTTCACTGGTAAACTGTGAAGTGTCATTCTTGGTAGATAGCAGGAGAGTGCATTGAATACTGAAGTATGGTTTCAAGGCTATGTTGGTGTTTACTCAAATCAACTGCAGTCTTTGCTTGAGATTTTAAACCATTTAAACTATTAAGGCAAAGTCCATTTCCAAATCTGATGTTAATATCACTGACTTGGTGAGCAGCAGGATCTACTGCTACAATGGTGTATTTGTGTACCTTTTTGTATGCTACACAAAATAAATGAAACATTACAGTGAATGCATTCAATACATTATAATTAAAATATTTTTAATTGTAGCAAAACCTCTGAAATAAAGGATAATTCTTAATGTGATTTGATCTATTGCTTTAAATAGCATTACTGATAAGAAAAAAGTTTAGTGTATGTTTTTATGGGATAGTACTGACTAGGAAAAGAATCTAATGCTTATTTTTCAGTGTTTAGTTTTTTATTTTTTCAGTGGAGCAAGTTCCTGTGGAGCCCTACAACATTCCTCTGTCTCAAGCTGAGGTGCTGCGGCAAGGCAGTGATGTGACACTGGTTGCTTGGGGCACACAGGTCAGTAAGATTCTTTGAAACTTGTTGTTGTCCATCAGAGCCCAGATTAAGGGCCAGGAGCTGAATTTCGTACTCAGTCTCAAGTGCCATCCAATAAACTTTGTATGTTTGTTTCTATGTATGTATGTAACTTTGTATTTCCATCAGTACATAGTTGAATGAATGATTCTCTTTATTTCTGTTTATATGAAATCTGCTTTTTAACGTGTAAGATTTCACTCATTTTTTGTTGAAGCTGACACTGAAAATGTGGAAGAAGTGTGGAACCTCTGCTGGAGGTTGATGATTTATGTATGGTTGTGAAAGTTACACTTTTAAGAATGTGGCAGTGGGATGTGACTCTCGAGGAAGGCAGTGGGAAGGACAGTTGAAAGTATGTTGAAAGAGAAGTATAGATCTTTACTGCACAATTTAAAAATAGTGCAGTCTGGGGTTGTCTTTATGCAGAGAATTGAAATATACAGAAAATTTAGGTAATTTAAAACCATTAATACAAAGCAAGATATTTGTTTCTGATGGTTTATTTTCGAAGCTGGTCAAGAATATGATTCAGCTCCCCCTGTCTCCAGTTAAGATGTTCAAATATTAAAAAAAAGAAATAGTAAGAGCAAAACCATACAAAGAACCCAAACACATTCATGTTGAAGAATGATAGAAAACAAATTTTAGTCTAGACTGGAATTACCAGAAAAATCTTTAAATTGCCTTTAACCTGTAATTTAGTAAACTGCAATTTTCCTGGCTTAATTATGTATCCGGGTAGCTGTTAGAGGGAGGGAGTGTTGTAAATTTCATCACAACAGTGTTGATCTGTGGAGCTGGTTATTTTTTGCTTTTTGTTTGGAATCTGTTATCCTCTTTGCTTTCCTGTGATAGGTCAAGCAGCCAGAGGACAAGAAAACTTCTTTATAGCTATGATTATTCCTACTAGTTGTTATTAAAGACTACTTCGATATCTTTACTTGTGCTTGTTTCTCCAGCAGAAAGCAATTTAGACTTTTATCCTTGTTCCCTTTTGAAAGTGAGTGTACATTTTTCCTGCCTGCTCCATTTGGATGGAATCTCAATATTCATCAGGCTCCCCAGAACTGAAATGATAAATGAAGATATGATAAATAAATAAAGAAATGATAAATAAAGATATAATGAAACCATAAAGATATTATATATATATAATATAAAGATATTATATTAAAGATCACTAAAGTATTGGCTATTGGTAAAGCTGTCGAAAGCAATTAAAGTAACATCCTACAGTTGCATGGAGTAGACTAGGAATGACATCTTTTCAAAGAACTGTGCTTCAGAGCTTGCGAAATGTAAGCCGAGTGTTGAGACAGGCAGCTGTTTTGATGTACAGCCCTAATGTGGATTTAGGATCTGACTTAACCATGGGTGTGGCTGTGTAATGCAGAATGAGGGACTGTTACATAGAACTTCTCCCTCTTTCAGGATTTCTGGGCAGAAGTATATGCATGTACATCACATGGAGGATGTGCAGTGTTGCTTTGTACAAGAACTGTTGAGTGTATCTCTGTGTAGAGATAGAGGTACATACTTAGCATGTAAGCAGAAAATACGGCATGTTTTGTATCAGAATTCTGCAAGTGAGTTTTTGTTGTGAGCGTGTGCATAACTTGAATTTGATAGCTACATGTACAGTGGAACTGGCAAATCCATTTCAATAGGCAGAGAGTGGTCACACATACCAAGAGGTTTCTTCTCATGCATTTTGTATGCTAGATAGTTGCTTGGCAGCTGCTGCCCTAGTGAGGTTACCTGATGTGTGCTTTCCTGAGTTATACTAATGAAGGGCAGTAATGGCTTTTAGTTCCCCTCCAGTTGTACTCAATGTTTTACGGTCATTAACTAATCCTTATGCCTTGTGAACTAGGCAAATATTTTCACTTATGCATCATAGAAATGGCAAAAACATCCCATGTATTACACTGAAATCTCCAACCATTGCAGCTGCTGATGCATTAGAAGTTTAAACAAAAATACTGCAAGTTATTTCTTTTTATTGCTACAATACTTGTATTGTGATTTATCTTTTAAGCAGTCCTCTGATGTTTAGCTATTCCTATTTGTGTAATGCAGATTCATGTTAAATCTTTAATCATCTTGTTTCAGTGTAGATTTTTGCTCTGTGTAACACTGACTACAGCCCTTTGATCCCTGGCAGTTAACGCCATCTCACCGTGTCCATATTATTAAATGCTGTTGTCTCCCTGACCGAGGTGACCTCATCAAAACTTCTTGTTGGGGGTGGTCCTTGGCTTCCATCTCCTGAACTGTGCCTAGCAGTTGCTCAAGGGAGATACCTCAGTCCAAACCTGCATTATGAAACATTCCAACCCTCTGACAATGAGGACTACACCAGAATTTATTGACAACATCATGTCAGGAAATTCTGTATTAAAATGCATCACTGATATTTGGATCTTGGTTTAGGTACAGCCTTGAGAAAAATCTTATCCTAAAACCCAAACTGACTGGAATTATAAAATATTGAGGCCTGATACTGCTCAGTGAATGATACTTTTCTAGCAAGTAGCGTTTTTGTTTTCAGTGATCCTTCACTGAAATTTGTTTTTCCTTTCTTGAAGTAACGCTGAAATGCAAAGAATAGTGTAAGGAGTAAATTAGAAGAATGAAGTGAGAAATAAATACTGATGAAGTATTTAAAACTAAAATAAAATAAAAAATAAAACATTTTCTGGTAAAAAAACAGGTAACGTTAAATCATTATATGTATTTAGTATGTGTAATTTAGAAATTTTAAACAGAAATGAAACGTTTACTTTTAATAATACTTGTAATAATACATTGCTTTTTCAGGTACACGTGATCAAAGAAGTTGCAGTGATGGCTCAGGAAAAGCTAGGAGTGTCCTGTGAAGTTATTGATCTGAGGACCATCTTACCCTGGGATACAGAGACTATTTGCAAGGTAAGGCAATGATGTATGTTAATTAAAAGAAAAAACAAAACCCTAAAACCTATTGGTAAAAGCAATTTAAATATTAGTAACTTTGTATTTTATGTTTTTTTTTTTTTTAAAGGTCTAAATTGTTGCGTATTTAAACATGGATTTATATCTTGCTTCTTAAAAGTTTGATTTTCAGTTGAAGTGTTTCCAGTGTTTGTTTCCAGTGTACTTTATATTACTTGGATGTGCTTTCTATGTGTAAAAAATGAAATGAGTTGTCATGACCAATATGAAGAGAAACTTCTACTACTATTTCAGTTATTTCTACTAAATCCTTTAGAAGCCCTTGTGGATAAATCAAAACCAAAATGTTTAGTGTTTTTTCCCTTTTTAAAAAACTTGAGCTGTCCTGCTGTGAAATCAAAGCATCTCTCTGAAAGAGCAGTTAAGTTCTGTTTCATTGGATTGGATCTGCGCTGAAATGCAGTCAGGAAAGAAATCTGGTTGTGCCTAGGAAGCACAGAGCTATAGTTCTACAACAGTTTGCAAATCTGTGTTTCAGAAATAGATACTTTATGCAGATCTTCAGCTTGTTTTCCATCCTAATTATCTTTTAAAGTAATTGTAGCATAAATAAAAAAGATGGAACAGACAAATGTTGCTTTAGATTTTTTAACAAGTTTACTGTTAAGAATTTAAAGTGATTTTTTTCTTGAGGTATAGTGCGTGTTGGTTGGGTAGTTCCTACATTATAACAAGTATCTAATAGTAAATGTTTTCAGCATTGCTTTTATGTTAGTATGTGTGCAGGCTGGCCTGTCTAGTGAGAGAAATGTTAAATTATCTCTTTCTATCTGTCTTGTCTGCTTGTTCAGCTGGAAATAATCAGTAGTTTGTATTTGGTACTATGCAATGCTGCAAGTTTTAAACTTCAATTGTACCCTGTGCAGCTTTTAAGGTGGGTAATATCTAACATAAGCAGAAAGATGGAAATGATAGCTATAGCTGCTTGCTGTTGCTTCATTCCAAGAGAAACCCCTTAGAGCAGTTGTAAATGGCAGTGGCTTTCAAGGTCATTTCCAGGATCAGGACTTGCTGTACTTCAGTTATTCCCTTCTTGAGGTGCCATCACCAAGGATGAGAGAGCAGCAGAAAATTTGGTGATGCTAGAGTAAGTCCTGAGCTGCTCATAGGACTGCTTAAGTCCTGTTTGGGGACTCATAACAAAATTGGTCTTGCTCCTGTCCAACCAACATTCAAATAATTGGTAGCTACATGTCTGTCTTTTGTTTGAGTCTGACTTGTGTCAGCCTCTATAAATTGTAGTTTTTGTTTTTTCTCACATTATGTATGTGTTTGAAATTTATTTATGATCTTTCTTGTGGTGGATGCTGAGGAAAAGGATGGTGTATGTGATAAGCTGCAACCTGGGTGCCATTCTGCTATGCTGGCATGCAGAATCTTCTGCTGATGAGCAGTCTGTACTGGGGGCTTATCAGACTTTGTGTTTTAGTGTAAAAACACATCTCTGTTTTATTGTGAGGAGTGGTGTACTTTGTTCTCAGTACAGATAGTTAATTCAGTCCCTGGTCTGCTGCTTCCAGTTCCTGTGTGCATATTTCCACTCGCACTTTGTTCGTACAGCCCTTAACATTTCCATATTCTCCTTTCTGCTGCCTCTTTCTAGAAGGCAGGAAGCTTATGTAACTTCTTGTAGGCTATATTCTTATTACTAATCATGAGCCAAAATTTTGGCACAGACTTCTAAGGGACCAGTGTTTTCTCTGGGTCAGAGTCACTAGGCTATAATAAAGGAACTGAATTTTGTAGAAGTGTTATGCATTTGCTTGTCTAACATGTTTTAATCTGCAGGTTTATTTTATTCTTGTGCATATGCAAGAAATGTTATGTTTTTATATTGAAATATTTTACTGGATTTTCCTAATCTATGTAATTTTCTTAAACAAAATTAAGGAGCCTTCATGGTGTGTCTCAGGGAATAAGCAGGAATGAAATGCTTTACTTAACTGAAAATAGATGCATTTTTAAGACTGATTCGACAACCGTAGCATTGGAATGAGCATGGATGGACTGAGGTGGTTACTGCTTTGGAGATGAGCAGGAATGTATCAAAATTTTTACTGGGAATATAACAGCTTTGTATACTTTCTATATAAAAAACTGAAAGTTTTGTTACCAAAATACGTATTTCTTGAAACTTTGAGTAGCTATACTTTGCAACTGCCACCAGAGGTCTCTTTTTAGCCAAGTTAAACTGCTGTTTATACTTTACACTGCTCCTCTGAGCATATTTATAAACATATAGCCCTGAGTGAAACATAAACACAACATGGATAAGTATAAGGAAACATAAATAAGAATTTAAGCCAAATTTTTACTGATATTTTCTTTGCATTTTCAAGGTTCTGATATTATTTTTAATTTTGAAATAGGTTAACATTTGTCGTCTGCGTGAGAAGGAGATGAGAGTATTGAAATCTGAACTAGTGACAATAGCTCATAGAGTTAATCAAGAAAGATATCTCCTGAGAGTCATTCATCTCAGCTATTTCAGCAGCCTATTGTGGGGTGAAATAGTCTCCTGTAGAAATGTCTTGGGTTTAAGAAAAAATAAAAAATCAAGGAGGCCTCGATGAAGTTTGAAGTCAGGAAGGATAAATCCTACCTTCATTATTAATCTGAGAGATGATACTTACTGCTGACAGAAGGGATTCAGGTTTTTGGCCGGTTTAAAATGATCTCCTTACTAAGATAAAGAATCTATGTGCATGTGTATAAATACAATTTCTTTATATAAGGCTTCATTGCTGTTTAACTTGGGAAAGATTCTTGAGAAGTGATGGTGCTTTTTTACATAAAGGCAATGGATAGAGTTCCTAGCCCTTGAAAACTGATGTAGCTTGTTCCAAGATTCCATAGCATTCTTGAGGAGTAACATTCTCTCTCTGGATCAAGAGAAATAATTGATTTTTACACGTTGGCAACTTAAAAGAGATGCAGGAAATACTTTCTCTATTGCTTTTCACAGAGATGCAAACAGGTGAAACAAAGTCAAACTGCATAAAATGCAGTATATCCCACAGTTGTCTGTGTGTAATCAGAATTTGTTATTTTGAACAAATTTCAAACAGCTGAAGTTATGACTTCTGTGGCTCTGTTTGAGATGTTCAGTGCCATGAAAGGCTGGTGTGATGCCTTTTCTAAACTTCACTTCTAAGTTCTCATGTGCTTAGAAAACTAATTCCTGAAGTGATATATTTTCTGAATTTTATGAATTTAGTTCCAGATAAACTTTTTTTTAAATTATTATTATTATTATTTTTTAATGATTTTGACTTTTCACTTGCCTTTGATGACAGTGGTATTTCTTAATGTGTCACTTTTATTTTCTGGTTTAGAAATAGGTTTGAGCTAGCATGCTTGGATGACATGATCACATAAACACAGACTTAGCTTCTCAGAAAATTCAAATCACAGTGGAAATGTCACTAGTTGAATCTGCCAGATAAATTTGTATGCCTTTGCACCCTTTTAATAATGAATAGTCTTCTGAAATGAAGACGAGAAGGATCTATTCCTTTTAATGTTGTCCTTACAGGAGTGATCACATTCTTTTTGCTTTCTTTCTGTCTTTAACTTGTGTATGAAGGAGCTGGGGTCAGCAGTGATCTCTCCCCTTTATACATTCAACTGGAAATGCAAAGTCATGAAGTCAGGGTGCTTCTCAGCACATGCTGCTGCTAACCACAGCTCTGCCTTGACTCTGCTCTGCTGCCTCCCCAGCTGTTGCATGGCATGTAGGCTTCCAGACTCAACGAAGCTAAAACAAAGAGGCTGGTTGCTCTACAGATTGGTAATGCTTTACTACTGCTTGACTGAGCAGCTGCCTTATTATTTTTGGAAGAGCAATCTGCCATGACGAGTGCTGTTCCAGAAACCAAAATACGAAATGTATATGAAATATCTATAAAATGTCTATGAGATTTGTTTCTTTACAACCTACAAAACTGTTTAAAGATACTTTGTTTCCTTGCAGAAATTGTACTTTCAGACATTTTTTTTTCTTCATTATGCTTAACAGATTTGCTTTGAAGCTTTAGAGAAATTAGACTGTGTGGATTTTTGTCTCGGAGCTGTTGGATGGTGTGGTATTGATTAAAGAGGCAATGGCACGCCTCCCACTGCTTCACTGGTCACACTTGGGGTAAAATTCTGTGGTGGTAGTGTTGTTTTTTTTTGGTACTGGAATGCCTGTGTTACTGGAAGTAGGAAATCTAGCTCAGAGTTAAATACTCCTAAGGGACTGTAAGAGTTTCTATATTTTATTCACCCTGTATTGAACCGAGAATGTTATTTAAACTTTGAATAGATTAGAACTGAATTGTTCGGTAAATTTCACTTTTGAAGTGCAAATTTTGAACTGCACTTTTTTGTACTTATGTATTATTTAGAAGGCAAGCATTTCTTATGCATAGCAATGAAGATTTGCATTTATTTCCAAGTTAGTCATATGCTAACGGTCTCTGAACCATTCCTACCGTAATGGGAGGAAATGCTGAGTTATTCCTTTATGACTTAGTAATGAAGGCACTGTAGACTGAACTGCAGTTTAAAAGACCTGTGGTTGTTGAGAGCTTGTGTAAAGCGATACAACTTTGTGCATTTTGCAGAAAAAATATGTTGTCTTTGCAGAAAATTAGTTTATGGATTGACATTATCAACGGATGGCAACTGTGAAATTGATTTTCATAGGGCAGTATTCTACAGAAAAGAGAAGGGCTTTATGTTCTTCTGGGCACTTGGGGTTGCTTCGCTATTTTATTGAAAAGTTTTTGCAGACCTCCCATCAGGTCAACATAAATGCTTAGCAGTCTGAAAAAAGACATCTGTACTCACTGGAAAGAGAAATTTGAGCAAAAGTGAAAGCAGCAGCAGTGGGAGCTTGCGGGTAATCCAGCACCATGGAGTGGATTGGAGGAAACTGTGAGCATGCTTTCCAC